GTGCGGTGTGGGCAGGAACGGTGAAGTCGGCGCGGGGAACAGGCTAGGTCAAAACCGCGGCGGTTATATGGTGGCCCCCATGAAGGAAGAGATAAGGAAAGGAATAGAGTTTGCAATCCGCACACCATCTACTAACCAGACGCTCTGATGGCAACGACCGAACGCTGCCACCTAGAGTCTGGTCGACTCCAGAGAGGTCCAAATCCCCTTGAGTCACGACCGGACGCGTCCAATCACCACTGACCAGATGTAGCCAGAGTCCGGTCGAACCTGTCTTCATCGTCTTCGCTTGACCGGACGCAGGAACTCCATCTGACCGGATGCAGGGAAAGAACTGTTTCAGCATCCGGTCACTCCTTTGCAGCAATAGTTCACCACCTGTGAACTGACCGGACGCTGGACTTCAGAGTCGGGTGCAGCATCCGGTCACTCTTTTTCAATAGATCTTCAATGTTCCTTCATGTTGCCTGTTGTCAATCAAGTCCCAACTTCAATAAGACCCAAATAAATACCAATTGTGACTAATGTGAGTGACCTCTCTCAAACCCTCAAAACTTTTTCAAAGTATTTTGCCTTAGGCTATAATTCTTTTTAAGAAAATAGGCAATAAAAGGGTGATTGAAGAGAAACGACAAAACAACATTCATGCGTATGCAATGCAATACTTGAAAGTAATTCTAGTTGCTTGTCAAGTTTGATATCTACTTTCTGGAAAAAAGGTAACACGTTGGTGCAATTTTACCAGAAATTTTAAACCTTTGAAGTTCATCAAAATTCATTCAAATTTGCTTCTGAAATTAAATAAACTTCAAACGTCATTTGTTGTTCACTTTCCTGAACCTTGATTGCTTCTGTTGGGTTTCAACTCTAGCCTACCCTAACTTGTTTGGGACTTAAATGCTTTGTTGTTGTTGTTGTCGTCGTCGTCATTTGTTGTTCACTTTGGCTCGGCCTACAGCAGCAGTAAGCGGCCCAGAGCACCAGTGCGCGGCCTGGCAGCAGCAGTGGCTCGCGCACACGTGCTCGCGGTGCCTCCCCCGCACCTAGGCCGCAACCTGGGCCTGGGACGGGAAAGTGCCTCCCTGCCTAGGCCGATTCTGGTCCGACGTGCTCTCAGCCGTCCATCCAGATCCGACGGCCAGGCGTCGTTTTCGAGAGATCAAAAACCCCTTCGTGGCACGGGCGCCCTAAACCCTAACTCATTCTCGCCTTCCTCCCATTTCCTCTTCTCAGCGCAGTCGGAAGAGGAAGAGAGAGAGAAACACAGCGGCACCGCTGCCGGTCCCCTCGCCGGCGCGCGCGCTCGCCATAGGCTGAGTGTGCCGCCGTCGAGCGGTCTGGGCGACGGTGCCCTCATCCCCCATACGCGCTGCGATGGGCTTGGCCTTAACCCTAGATCTAGCCCTCTCTCCCCGTCGCACCCGAGGTCAACGTAGGAGGTGACTGCATCGCCGTGGCGCCCTTCGCCGGTGCTCGCGTGCGGCCGAAGCCGCGCGCAGCGTCGTCGAGTGGCACCGCGGTGGTGCTCTTTTGTGCCCTGCGCTCTTGAGTGCGACGCCGCAGAGCGCCGACGAGCCGGTGGCTCTCTCAGCGCGCGCTGTCTTCCCGCGCATCGGCGGTACCGCCGGCGGTGAGGAAGATTCCCAGGTAGGTCTCTCCCATCGCCAACCTTTCATTTTTCTAGGGTAGGGTTTGGGTTTGAGTACTGTTATTCTTCCCCGAACTGTCTACGCGGGTTAGGGTTAGGGTTCGAGTTCCTTTTCAAAACCGAGACCCTTTCTTACTCCTTTTCTTCACCAGATTTGGGTTTAGGGTTGGATGAACCCTCTGCTTAGATTCAAAACGGATCTATCACCTCTTTCTAAATGCTGCTACTCGGTTTTCTACTCCGATAGGCTAGATCTACACCTAGTTAGGTGTCTGATACCATTGATAGATACATTACAGGACCTTAGCCGTAGATCTAGCGGGTACATCTTACTATAAACATGATGAACAAACCCTAGAACATGAACTACGAAATCTAGGTGAAGAAGAAGGGAGAGGGGCAGTGGTCTCTGACCGTCAGAGGGCTTGGCGGAGGAGCTGCTGGAGCCGTCCATGGCGATGGCGGTGGTGCGGTCCGAGTCGATGAAGGCGGTGGCGATGTAGCAGTGAAGTCCGGTGACGCGGTTAAGTGGCAACGAGGCAATGGAGCTTCCCGTCACTGGCTGCGCACCCTCTATATCGGATTAGGGATATGTCGATGGGGCGACTTTAGCTGCTCATGGTGAACCTCGTGAAGAGAGCCACCGGCCCCCACCTCTCTTTTTATAGCGCAGTGTGACGGGGGCCCACCAACCATATACGGTTGGGCGCCCCTGATCAGGGCACAGATCCAAGAATCCACCAACCATGTAGGGTTGGGCCAATTGGTCGGAGATCATCTAACAAAAACTCCATACAGTAATTTAACGATTTCCTGGTCACTCGTGTGCCTGACGCTCTGAGTCTAGACACTACAGCCTTGGGTACCTGATTAACACTATACTGCACCATGCATGCTTAACACTGTACAGTACTTTTTCTTTTTTCTGATTGCTGTTCAGGCAATACTGGTGTCTTCGTTAGTGGGAACTGAAGGAAAACTCAGTTTCCATCTCCTGCTAATTTGGTGGAAGACATATCCTGGCTTTTCAAAGGTCTTGATCGATGTTAAATGATAAGAAGAATGATCCTAAACCAAAATGTAATGAATAGTCGTGTAATGTATGGTTAAATAGAACGCTGACGGCTGCGGTTGCAATATAAATTGTACTCTGTTTGTGTAACATGGCTGTCTCCGTATATAAATATATATCCACAGATTTTAGCTACCACCTAATTATAAGTCCATATAATGAAGTCTGGATAACATCTTTAATTGGTCACCCGAGCTTGTTTGACGCAGCTAGCTAGAGGGGAAAATAATACTATGTTGTACATTAGATTTCACTATTTTGTCTAATACTTGGATATATCATGCATTGATGTTTTATTGTGCACCTTGAACTAATGAATCCACCTTGAAGGTTAGCATGGTTTAACAGAATGAGAGTTGTGTAGTTTCTCTCTGATTTTGTACTCTGCTCTCTGATTACTTTTTCCATTTACAGGGATAGTTCGGCTGCTGACTGGCATCTAACATTTAGCATCAAGGGACCATGCCGTTGTAATGATTAGCTATGTGTTTTTCGGAAACCTCATGGCAGTAGATTGCAGATGTAGCTTATCGGTCTTTTGTCTCTGACATTGAGAACCTATTCTAATGATTTCTGTGCACATCTGGATCAGAATTTGACTAAGATGTTCTGTAGTCATGAATTGCAATTGTGAACAATAATGAATAGCTATTTAACGTGCGGTTCAATAGAACTGTAAGCCGCGGTGATCATGCATGTACTGAATGGCCATGAACTCGATGGCTGAACAGAATCGTAAGGGTTGTGGTAGCCATAAAAACCATAAGCCTGCTCCCTATTAGGACATGGGATATGTGATTGGTTGTTTCGTAATTTTTGCTACGTACTTATTGGTGTGATACGCTTAATCTTAGGTGCTGGTGACGTGGTGATGATGCCAATGACTATGAAAACCAATGTTTGTGGTTGGATCTTAGTGTTAAGATATTTAATTTTAAAACCATGCCTATTTAGCGAGGATAGTTGCTTTTGTTTTTGAATCATTATAGGGTGCCCGAAGGGCGCCTAATGTTCTAGTTGTCTGTAAAGACGTGAGAAATTGCGACTGGATTAGGTTAGTTGATTCATGTCAATGACATGATGTCAATCAATCAGGAACAAAACATCTTTCATACTAGTATATTATCAGCCAGGTTCGTCTGGTCCAGGGTTTAAGTGAACACAAAGATATAACAAGTTGCTTCCTTAGATAAAAGGTAAATATTTTTTTAGGGGAAAGGCCTGCCACGCAATGACAAGTTGGCAACGGGTACAAGGGGTTCATCGGCTGAACCGGTACTACTTCAACAAATTCAAAGGTTTTTGAAACAAAACAGACATTCTTATTATAACTATTTATATGCTTTTGTAAAGTAGAGGTGGTCCTTTTTCTAAAGAAGCTAGTTTAATTTCTGGTGAGGTTAGAAAGGAAAAGCCCTTGTCCCCAGCCACACCCCAATCCAAACGCTCCTCTCTTTCAGCCGGTAAGGCCCCGACTAGATCAGGTGATCTCCATCCAAGTCACAACGATTGCAGTGCTTCCAAATCGTTAAGGCTCTCATGATAATTATGGCATTAAGTCCTTTCTTTGCCTGACCACTCAATCAGTAAAGGAAACATACTCAAGCTATGGGGAGAGAGTTTGAAGAACAACATTCTGGAACAAATAGAACCAGAAATACTGAGCAAAGCGATTGACAGTTTCCATTGTCTGATCGCATAGACTGCAGCGCTTAGCTGAAAGAGGCCTCGCCGTGCAAGTCGATCAGCCACATAAAAATTTTGCACTACCCGGGAGCCCAAGATTTCCGAACAATTGCCCAAGGGTCACGGTAACTGAACCCTGAAATAAACTCTTATAAGCATTGAAAAAAAACTCTTATATGCTAACTGGGCAGTTTATTGGCCAGCGGTTGAGAATGCATTGGAGCATAGTTCACAAAATCTGTTGACTTCTGACAATGGTAAAAGCCAATAGCTAAAAACCAATCAACCACCAACGTCTCCAAATCTCTATTTTTGTAATTAAAAATATACAATCCAGTCATTGCTTAGCGCAGCCGGCTCAGTCCAAACGAACAAAATGAAATCAGTTATGTCAATAGATTGGGCCGGATACAATAAGCCCATGATTGGCCAGGCCAAATCGACAAATCTACATATAGGCCCATTGTACAATGTAACTCAGTTTGGTCGTATACATAATAATAGTGGCTGGTGGACATTACACATCGTCAATTGCGTGTCACAATCAAATGACTAATCAGTTGCGTGTAAAAGTCAATATATGTGCGTCAATTGTTATAGCAGCGGTCGAGAAGAGTCCACCTTTCTAAGGCTCGACCCAACAAACCTCTTTATCGCATTCTTCCAAGATGCCTGCAAAGGGAAGCAAAGTTTGTCACAAGTGAAGTAAAAATAATCTGATATATTGCCTCAAAAGAAAAATAATGTGATATATGGGATTCTTTAAAAAAAACTCAGGCAAGTGCAACTCTTTCTGTTAAAGGGTTTCAAGAATCCCATGATATACCGTTCAGTTGTGTACCTTACGGTCATCTCGATATTTGACTGAGGGATCAACGATGTAGTTCTTTATTAGTCTGCAAAGTTCTGCTGGCTTTTCGCGGTTTATGGCATGACCAGCATTCTTGACAATCACTAGTTCAGAAGTATCTCCCAGATGCCTGAGATTTTTTTTATACAAAAGCTTAGAAGATTTGTTTTGTTTCCTTCTGAACAGAGCAAAGCTTAATGAATTACAATAAAGACTTGAATTTGATGACACATATAAATAGACAAACCTTTTCAGCCGTAATCCAAGTTCCAATGGAAAGACTCGGTCTTGCTCTCCCCAAATTATCAAGGTTTGCTGACAAATCAATGAAATATGCTACAATTATATTCTTTAACTGTCAAAAAGGAAGAAGGTTTGGCCGGAGAACTAGTATGGTCTCATCAAGGTCAAGTGCTTATGCAAATGCAAATCATTACCTGGTTAATTTTAGGAAGGTCTGAAAGCTTCCTACCATTGATCAATGCATACAACAACTCTGTCTTCTCTTTTACATTTTCAGTGCACATAACCTGCAATACAACACAACACAAAGACAACGTTGAGTAAATCTTATGTGCATTTAACAAGATTGAGCAACCACTTACTATGTCAATAGCACACAAGAAAATGTACAAATCTACCCAATTTCCCCTAAAGCTGTTCAGTACAGACACAGTTGGGTGGATTGAATTCAAATATTACTTTCTCCATGCAAAAAGTATATTACAATCCATAATGTTTGGAAATTTTTAGGTTAATTAGACTCGTGCCATTGTAAATTTTACAGTTTTGAAAAATGTCACTGCTATTTGTGAAATTGGAAATATGCCATTAGGAAAACACAGGTACAAATACCATGATATTTGTGCTGGCATATTTCCAAATCCAAGAAAATTTGATGGCATGGTTCCAATATCATGACTTTTGTAATGGCATACTTTCAAATCTGGTAAATTTACAGTGGCATGGTTACAAGATGAAATATGAGATACATGGGCATAGCATCCTTGGATCCAATCTGACTGGCCCGAGAGGTGTGAACCCACTCACCTCTCTTGAGCTGGCTTAGGCCCAATTGGATTTGGTCGAATTAAAAACTGAACAAAGGGCACAAGGGATTCCCACCTCTCACCTAGGCCATGCAAAGTGGATCCGAGGGATGAGAATATAAGATTGAGTTTGTGCACATGTGTGTGGATATATTCTTGCTGACATGATACTTGCTCTGGTTACAATATCACAAACTCTAGTGGAATATTTCAAAACTGTGAAATCTATAATGGCATGAATGTAATCACAAAATCTGACATCATTAACTTTGTAACAACAGTAGATGCAATGATGATGCCACAAAGACAAAAAAAAAGGATGGATATTGTAGTGATGTTCTAATATAAAATAGGCATATACTGTTTTTGAGCACATAAATATCAAGTTGCATTGGCAAGCATGCCTAGAATACGCTTGAACTTAATGTTGAATGCTTGTCATTTTCTTTAGGGGAAATAAAACAGGGGAGACCTTGCCTCTAAAATAAAGCAAATATCAAGCTGTGAAAATGACTTGGGAAAGCATGAGGAACTTATAGGTCCCTAATTCTATGAAGATTAGATTTTTTTTAACTCATCAATCCATGTGGTTCGTTAAGTATAACAAATTAACTTCATGCCACTGTAGGTTCAACCAAACTGGTCAGTGTTTAAGGGCACTTTTGGATGCCTTGATATGCCTTGCTTTGCTTGGCTGGGCAGAAGACACACTGTTTGGTTGACTTGTTTGCCGTCTCGTATCTTGCGCTTTCCAGAATTTCTGTCGCCAACACAAGCAAGTTGAAACCGCTCACCACAGGTGGCAAGCCTAGCCTTGCCAAGCGAGGCGAGGTGAGCTGGCTGCACAAACCAACCAAACATGCCCTAAGCTGCTAGTTTGTGTTATCGCGCACAAATTTTACGAGGAATAATATTCCATCACAATCCAATACTTTGCTGGAACAATTTACTTATTCGTTTGAACAACTTGAAGCAGCTTTATCAATTTAATCAATCTGAAACCAATCCAATTGAAAAAATTCTCCAGCAGTTTTACGATGTTGACCAAGACGTTCACCTCAAGTGATATCAACGATTAAATGCCTCCATGGTATTCCTCTTTTTCTATATACCAACTAATGAATGCCTTAGGCATAAATCTATCACTGACAATGGCCTATCAACCTTATCAAACGATAAAGAAATTGTTTATAGTTTATACTATCAGTACACCCTAGTGCAGTAATAATATATGGAAAAATCATAAGCGTTGAGTTATGAAGGGGGAAGATTATTTAGATCAACTAAACAGATCCTAAATCTCCATTGATTTGATTGTCATGTCGTTAATTGGACTCTGGGAATGGGATTAGGATAACAGGGGGGTTATAAAGTAGTGGATTCAGCACTGGATATGAGATCACAAACAAATTGCTGGAACGTTGTAACAACTAAGGGCCTGTTTGGATTCTGTGGGCAAACAATAGAAGCTAAAAAATAGCTCTAATCCATCCAAACACGAGGGCTAATGGTTTGCACTAACTTTTAGCCAAACCCTTGGATAGTTGTCAGTTCATTAGCCAAGTACAACTAACTAACAAGGGCTAATAGTTCATTATTAAAGATATATGCACCTTTTAGCCTAGATCCAAACATTCATAGTCCTTGCTGATCCAAAGAGGCTTCGAACTAACAACACCTCGGATCAATATAGGTAGCAATTGTGGATCAAATCCGTGGTTTTTACCTTTAGCACCGAACCACCAACCCTAAGTAGTACAGTATACAACAATTAATTGTTCATTATCAACCACGAAACATCACGGCCAAGAAATTGCAGGTGAAATTAGTTGGCAAGTCCCTGCATTTACCTACCCTGATGTAATCCCTGATGAAGCAGGACGGCATGAACCGCGGAGGGCGGCAGAAGGTGAGCCCCACCAACCTCCGGAGATCCTCCGGCCGCTGGGGCAGCAACAGACTTGCAGCCTCGGCGATATCCTCAACGGCGAAGAGCCCCGAGGCCAGGTCGGCCTCCTCGAGGCAAACACCGGCCGCGACGAGTACAAGCCGCTCCACTGCTGCCGGGAACGCGTGGGCGAGGTGGTATGCTACGAAGCCGCCGTAACTGACCCCGACGACGGCGTACCGCTGCGGGGCGCCAGGGAGCGCAGCCATAGCGGCGGCGACGCAGGCAGCCTGGTAGACTGGGGAGCGGTCTGCGGCGGGGGAGGACGAGGCGCCGAAGAAGACGAGGTCCGGGACATAGGGGGCCAGACCGGCGGCGAGGAGCGGGCGGAGGAAGGGCGCCCACTGCCACGTGGCTTGTGCGCCGAAGCCGTGGAGGAGCAGGACAGGGTGTAGGGGCCTGGCGGGGTCGGCGGCAGGTGGCGGGAGCCAGAGGTGTACGACGGCGCCATCGGGAAGCGGAATGGCCGCCGGTCGGAGCCCCGCGGAGCGGAAGGAGCGAGTGTAGCAGCGGTCACGTGCGACAGTGGGACTGAGGCGGTGCTTCCACCGTCGCCGTCCGCCGCCGGCGGGGGTCAGCGATGCGGGCGGTGGGGGTGGGGGCATCTTGGTCGCCGGAGGCGGGAGATCCGGAGGGCGCGTCGCGCGTGCGTGCGGAACAGCGGATGGACTGGGTCTGTACTCCAGTAGTCCACGAAATTTTTACATATTTACCGACGACGTGAGTGACCATATCAATGATTCATATAGTGATATAGTATAAGATGTCGTTCATAATAATAATAATAAATATGTAAATACCCTTAATCCAGAGGAGCACCGCAGCATGCTTTTGGGGCTGCTTGGCAGCTTGGGTTTCTCGAGCTTGCTCTGGCACAAAGTAATGACAACCTTGCTTAGCTAGGCGAGTCATTTTAGCTCTCCCATGCTGGCAAGAAAAATCTCGCCCGCACAAGCCTCAGAGGTACTCAATAAAGCATCTAAACAACCAAACTTGCTCCATATTTTCACCTAATAATATTACACCGTGATAAGTAAAGAAACCAAGCAGCCCATATAACAGTTCACAGGTAAAGTTCTAGCTTGGCATAGTTGCCACTTGCAACTTGCAAGGTCCGCGTGGATGGCCCACGAGTCAACGTATTATTAGAGTATCTTCGAGAGTCTTTCTAAATCTCTCTTTAAATTATTATTTAGAGAGTCATTTATATAAAAATCTCACTCTCATACGCACTCTAGAGAGCTATTCTCATCTTCTATTTTTTGCTAGCGAAAAATTCAGAATAGAATATAACTATATTTGGATAACCATTTAGAGAAACTGTTGAAGAATATCATCAAATCTCTATTCCTAGTATTTAGAAATGATATGGAGAGTCTCTTGGAGATGCTCTTAAATTTTAAGATCATCTCTAAAAGCTTCTTAAAAATTACTAGGTAGATTAATCATTGTGCCAAAGAATAAAATAAATATGAAACTCTATTTTTATCTTTGTCCATAGTTTAAAATAGTCAGCTTCTTTTCTCAAAAATCAGACGAGGAGTGTAAACCACAGCAGAGGGATGCCCGGACATATAGCAAGTGCCAACACACATGTATATATTTGTAAGGTGAGGCAGATATTTACCAAATGCCTTTTGAGTTTAAATACAAAACTACTAGAGGGTCGTTTTTTATTTTTTTTAGAAAAATAGGAATTGTTATAAAGCGCTCTAGGAGATGCTCTAATAGTTCCAAAAAATGAATAAAACAAAAATATATAGGACATAAGCAAAAGCTTCTTAAAATAACTCACTAATTCGAGATTTTTATGATAGAAAAGAGTCCTACAATTTTATATGAATCTTTTTAATAAAAATCTACGGTCCAACTCTCATGTACTTCCTCTGTCCTAAAATATAAGAAATCAAGTTCAAAATTTATACCAATACCAATTATAAATAATTCTAGGTGTGAATAAACACTCTAAAAGGTAAGATTCACTTGCATAGCTACCCTAATATCTATCGTCAACTCAAATATAGTAATCATTGAGGATTATATGCGTAGGTAATTTTGCATATAAAAGGTAGGCTTCTAGTTACCTTTTATATGCAAAGTTAAGCTTCTGACTCTAAAAGATAAGCTTCTAGCTCGTAGCTTAATATCATTTTTAGCAGTCCAGATAGCCCAGCACATAGGCACAACGACTTCCATAAAGAATCAACCTGAATAAATTGGGCTAGACCCAAGACATTTCAACAGCTTGTGGCAAAGGGGCAGTGAAAAAAGAGATGTATCAGGGATTCTTCAATGCTCGAATGACAGAGCACACGATTATACCTTTCCAGCACAATAGTTTTCCTTCTTAGAAGCTCACGGGTGTTTGAGTCTGTCTTTTAGTAAAAGCCAGAAAAAGGAGGTTGGCAATAGGAATTCCAGAGCCATTTGTACGCCAAGTGAACGTGCCTGGTGCCCATGAGTTGCAGATAAGCTCTGTTCGGTGCAAACATAGTAGAACCCCAAATATACAACCAAATGTCTTTTCCATCCTGCAAAGGGTGTCAACCAGGAGAGAGGTTAGCTTTTGTTACTGATCAAAGGTTTGAGTTGAAAGGGGTAGATGAAAGAGTTTAGACATGTCCTCAGAAGAGATGAAAGGCTGAATTGATAGCTTCTCTTTTGTAAAAGAGTATAGTTATAGGAATTGATTACTAAGTAATCTGCTATTCAACTTTGTTGCTGATGGTTTGTCTAGGATGATCCACAAGGCTCAAAGCAATAAATTGTTCAGTGGTCTAGTTGATCACATCATTGAAAATGGGGTGGCTGTTTTGCAATATGCTGATGATACTATAATATGTCTAAAACATGATTTTGAGGGGGCAAGCAATATGAAGTTACTTCTTTACATATATGAGCTTATGGCTGGTCTTAAGATTAACTTCTCTAAAAGTGAGATCCTAACTATTAGTGATGAGGAGGGCTAGGATAGGAAGTATGCTGATATCTTTAACTGCCAAGTGGGGACTTTCCCTATTAAGTACTTAGGAGTTCCTATCAGCCCTAGTAGACTGCATGTTAGTGATTGGATTCCTTTGGTCAACAAAAGTGAGAAAAAGTTGAATATTTGGAATGGAGGAACTATGTCCATTGCAGGAAGGTCCACCCTGATCAGCTCAAGCTTGAACAATGCACCCATATATCACATGTCTATTTACCTGTTGCCTAAAACAATTCTCAAAAGATTAGATAAAATTCGAAGAACTTTCTTCTGGCAAGGGGGTGGGACCAAAAGGAAATATCATCTCATTAAATGGACAAAAAATTGTAAGCATAAGAAAAAAGGTGGCCTCGGTATAAAAGACATCAGAAAAATGAATGTCAGCCTCCTCTGCAAGTGGTGGTGGAAGCTTGACAAGGAAAATGGGCTGTGGCAAAGAATTGTCAAATTCAAATATTTTAAGAACAACTTGATCTGGGATGTGTCACATAAGCAATCTGACTCAGCCATCTGGGCTGATTTGTTAAAGGTAAAAAATATCTATTTGAAAGGAAGGAAAATGCTGGTGAGGAATGGAAAGAACACATTCTTTTAGAAGGATACTTGGCTTTATGAAAGGCCAATATGTGTAATGTTCTCTGATATATTCAAATTTTGTGAACAGCAAAATATTTTGGTGGACTAGGTTAAGAAAAACCCTTGTAATGTTTCTTTTACTAGATGGTTAATGGATGATCTGCTCAGAGATTGGCAAAGGATTTTAGAGGATATGGAAAAGATAAACTTCACTTCTGAGGATGATTTAATTTCTTGAAAGTTTGGGCCTCTTGGTCGGTTTAGTGTGAAGTCAGTGTATAATGCTTTGACTGTTAATGATTCTGGTCCTTATCAAAAGAAGGTCTGGAAGGGAAAAGTTCCTGCAAAAATTAAAAATTTTCTTTGGCTGTTAATGAATAATGCAATACTAACCAAGGATAATTTGCTGAGAAGAAAATGGGTTGGTACCCTAACATGTTACTTTTGTAACCAAGAGAAAACTGTTTCTCATCTTTGCTTTCAGTGTAGCATAGCCAAGGCTGTCTGGGCAATTGTTGCCAAGTGTATTGGTGCCAACAATGTTCCTAAATCGTTTGGGCAGTGTTGGCTTTGGTGTGAAAAATGGCTCCCCTATGCTAAACAATTCCATACTGTTGGCATTGCAGCTATATGCTGGGCTATTTGGAAAACTAGGAACAAAGCTTGCTTTGATGGGAAAATGCTTAAGAATCCTGCATCAATCATATGTTATGCTTGTGCGCTCATGGGTTATTGGACATGTTTGTTTCTTGAGATGGTCAAGGAAGCGCTGGAAGCTAGGGTGAATACCATGCTGCATATCGTCGCCAAGTTGCTCGGCAAGAAGGCGCACAATGGTGGAAGACTGCTCCTGGAAGATAAACCTGATGACAATACAAAGGAATAAAACGAAAAGGGATGCGGGGCCATCTAAAGCTGTTTCTGGAAACTCTCTTTTGGCTGTCTCTGTAATTTTTGCTGGCTTTATGTTGAGCTTGGAATGTTGGTCAGGTTATCGCTGTGATGTCTCTGGGTCTGTGAAAGGTCCTAATGGCTAGAGGGGGGTGAACAACCTATTAAAAATTTCTATAACAACACTTAGCAAAGATATTAGACAATTAAACGGCGAAGCGAGTGTTGCGCTAGCCTACTAAAAATGCAAGCCATCTATTACAATTCTAATGACTATGATCTCTAAGCACACAATTGGCTAAGTCACTATATTAAGTTAGTGAGCACTCGAAGACTAATTAAAGAGCCTCACGAACCACTAGACCCGACACAAGCTTGCTCTCAAAACTATTTACACTAAATAGCGAAGCAACACTAGAAATGTAAATACACAAGAGAGGGTGGTGATGATTATACCGCCGTATCGAGGAATTGAACCAATCACAAGATGATCACAATCAATAACAATGAATACCAAGAAATCCTCGGACAAGATAACACAAGATTTTTACCGAAGTTCACTTGCTTGCCGGCAAGTTAGTCCTCGTTGTAGCGATTCACTCACTTGGAGGTTCACACGCTAATTGGCATCACACGCCAAACTCGCAATCGGGTGCCGCACAATCAACACAAGATGAGGATCACACAAGCCACGAGTAATCCACTAGAGTACCTTTTGGCTCTCTGTTGGGGAAAGGTCAAGAACTCCTCACAATCACCATGATCGGAGCCGGAGACAATCACCAACCTCCGCTCGACGATCCTCGCTGCTCCAAGCTGTCTAGGTGGCAGTAACCACCAAGAGTAACAAGCGAATCCCGCAGCGAAACACGAACACCAAGTACCTCTAGATGCAATCACTCAAGTAATGCACTTGGATTCACTCACAATCTCACAAAGATGACGAATCAATGATGGAGATGAGTGGGAGGGTTTTGGCTAAGCTCACAAGATTGCTATGTCAATGCAAATGGTCAAGGGAATGAGCTTGAGCTGGCCATGGGGCTTAAATAGAGAACCCCATGAATAGAGCCATTGGGCCCCTCACTGCAGCTTTCTTGGGGTGACCGGATGCGCCGGTCCATGTGACTGGATGCACCACCTTTAGCGTCTGGTCGCAGATCCACTGCCACGTGTCACCTCCATTTAATGTCAGTCGTTGAATGTCAACGGTCGACTGAGTTCCTCGCGCATGTTAAAGAAGGACTGGACGCGCCAATCCAGAGACCGGACGCGCTAGCCCCGCGTTAGATCCACGTAAACCCGTGGGCCACCAGATAGTGACCGGATGCGCCGATCACTTCGACCACCGCGCGTCCGGTAGACTCCAGAGAGGTTCCAGAGTCGCCTAAATGCTATCGGACGAGCTAGGTCCACCACGACCGGACACACCCCAGCGTCCGCTCCTTCTCCTCACTGCGCGCCGCCACGTCATCTATCGTCAGCACTGACCAGACGCACAAGGGTCACGTCAGGTCACAAGTTGCACCTACGTTCGGTCACAACGCTGAACAAGCCCAAGCGCGCCCAACACTTTATAATTGACCGGACGCTAAAACATCGAGTCCGGTCACACCGAAACCAGCGTCCGATCAGTGAAAGACAGTTCCTCCACTTCACCAACTTCTCCACCCTTGCTCAAATGTGCCAACTACCAAGTATATCACCTTGTGCACATGTGTTAGCATGTTTTCATAAATATTTTTCAAGGGTGTTAGCACTTCACTAGATCTAAATGCATATGCAATGAGTTAGAACATTTAGTGGCACTTTGATAACCGTATTTCGATATGAGTTTCACCCCTCTTAATAGTACGGCTATCGATCCTAAATGTGATCACACTTGCTAAGTGTCTCGATCACCAAACCAAAAACCTCATATCAAGTTTCACCTTTGCCTTGAGCTTTTTATTTTTCTCTTTCTTCTTTTCCAAGCCGAGCACTTATCACCATGGCCATCACCACAATCAACATGATTTTCATTTGCTCCACCACTTGGAATAGTGCTACCTATCTCATAATCACTAGATAAACTAGGTTAGCACATAGGGTTTCGTTAATTTACCAAAACCAAACAAGAGCTCTCAGTCTGTAGTTGTCTTCGAGCTAGAAACCTTAAAGTTAGTTGGTGGTCGTAAGTCTGCAAGGTCTGGCATGTCTTTTTTCTATTTTGCCTGAAACAGTCTACAAAACTCTGTATTTTCGTTAGATGTAATGGAAATGGGGATGCCTCCGGTTTGAAAAAAAAGTAATCTGCTATTCCAAATGTCCACCAGAAAAGACATGAAGATCCATCACTGATTGTGCATGGCTGATGCCATACCTTTGAAGGAATCAAGAGATTTAAGGGTATCCTTCCACCAGAAGAACCCCTTGTTGTTTTTTATTGGTAGGCCATTTGGATAATGACAATTCCAAACAAGTTGTATGACCCAGGGGATGTCAACTTTGTTGAAAAACTTATGGAGATGATTCAGCAATAAACTCCCATTCTGTGTGTAAAGATTTAGAGCACTAAGTCCACCACATTCTTTGGGCACACACACTAGCTTACAGGCAGCTTTGGGGGGTTTCTTACAATTTATATCAGACCTCCTCCATAAACAATGTTTTCTAAATTTGTCAATCTACTTTATAATAGATTTTGGTAGGAGGTAGGTGCACATTGTGAAAGTAGGCAAAGCACTACTAAGAATATCATTGGTCATCTGCAGCCTGCCTAAGGGCCTGTTCGGCAGGACTGAAAAATACTGTTCCGGCTGATTGTTGTGAGAGAAAAATATTGTTCTGGCAGGACGTGAACAGTGCCCCGCTGAGTGGCCTGGCCAGCCCCAGCCAACCGAATAAGCCAGCCGAACAAGCTCTAAAAAGGGTGAAACACTTGTTAACCTTCTCTCACACTTATTGATAGGGGGGCAAAAATCTGCCAATGTTGGCTTTATTAGGCTCAAAGGGAGACCAAGGTATGTAAAAGGCAAGGTACCCTTGAAGCAGCTAAAGGTCTGTGCCAAAATATTGAAACGGTCCTCACTGATATTAATTGGCAGCATCATAGACTTTTCATATTTGACCTTGAGCCTAGTTGATTCAGCAAAAGAATTAACATAAAGAAGACCTGTCTTGCATCGCCTTGCATAAAGATTAATGTATCTTAATGTATCATCTGCATGATATAATAATATTATTAATTACATGATACGTTAACGTGTGCAGCGGACATTACATTCTTTGTCTATCCAAATATGAATTTATAGCTAACCTATCTGGATCCTACAATTGCAGGTTCATTAGATAGACAAGGATATTCAGCTAGAGCCTCCAAGAGTAAAAAAAATCATATGCATGGACACCTCAGGATCTTTTTACGAAGCACACATAACAAGAATTAATTGTAATTGACTTATCCACTTCATCATGCATGAAGTTGTTCTTCGAAATGGGAGGTACTTCTGCAACGTTACGAGCTAGACACGGAGGGCAAGTTTAGAGACCTTAGAACGTGGAAGATAACCTATGGATCAAGGATTACAAGATGTTGGATCTATTTTAGAGCTAGCTAGAGCTTAATCATGCATGTCAGGATTGTACAAAGACACATGAAATCTTGTATATGGCTCTTTTTAGTTTTGTTTGTAAAACGTTTGTGCTACGACGATGAAACAAGTAATATGATGAAACGACATTTTTTCTATATATGAATATATAAACAAACAACCTTAGACGATTTGACGACATGAGATGAATTATACAAATAGGAAAAGTGTTTGCACTGGACCTAAATCAACATAGATACAGGAGGGTGGAAATATAGAAAGTAGTGGTACGGTGGTCCACAATAAACAGGTAGCTGATGAACGAGTTGAAGCTTGAAATGCAAGCCGATCGATGAAATCGGAATGGACACACAATCCAAAAGCTGGAGACACGGAATGCATGCATGCACGCCTAGAATTGGAATCCATGTATCATCGTGCCGACGGGTGGTCATGGATGAGATTCAGATGTGGTGGTTGTTGCGAAAGGATGCGAAGGCCTTGGCTGCGCCGGCGCGGAGAACCAACTGGTGGTAGAGCATGGCGGCGGCAGCGCCGGTGAGGGGGCCGACCCAGAATATCCACTGATCGTCCCACGCCTTTCGCTGGTTGTACACAACGGCCGGCCCCAGGCTCCTTGCCGGATTGATGCCCGTGCCGGTGACGGGGATGGTGGCCAGGTGCACCATGAACACCGCGAATCCGATGGGCAGCGGCGTCAGGACCGGTACGTGCGAATCCCTGACCTTGCGCTTGGGGTCGGTGGCCGAGAACACGGTGTAGACGAGGACGAAGGTGCCCACGATCTCGGCGGCCAGACCGGCTCCCTTGGAGTAGCCGGCAGAGAGCTCGTTAGCGCCGCCGCCGTAGCGAAGGTACCAATGGGCGCCGTGGAAGGCCCTGACGAGGCCGGCGCCACACATGGCGCCCAGGCACTGCGCCACCACGTAGAGCGCGGCGCGCACCAGCGACACCTTGCGCGCCAGCAGCAGGCCGAAAGTGACCGCCGGGTTGATGTGCCCGCCGGAGATGCCGGCGGTGCAGTAGACCAGCACGAAGATCATGCCGCCGAAGGACCACGCGATGCCCAGCACGCCGACGCTGCCGCACGGCTGGGACTCGGCCTGCCGCTTGTGCCCGATGACGGTGGCCAGCGTGACGTACACGAAGAGCAGCGTGGCAACGAACTCGGCGATGACGGCGCGGTAGAGGGACCACTTGCCCAGCTCGCCGGCGTTCACGAATGGTGCCGGGGGAGGGTCACTGTAGTCCTTCTTCGCGCCTGCGGTCTCTATGGATTGACGACAAGGATCCATCTCGCTCGCGACTAACGACGACTGAGGCACACTGAGAGTAGCTAGTCACTACAGAATTAGGCAAGGAAGCCTGCGGCCTGCCTGCTGTCTGTTCGATGGACGAGGCATCTCAACTACCTGGTACTGGTAGATATAGTGGAGACGGAGCTCGAAATACCCCACTTGATGAGCTCACCAATCACAACTAGTAGTATTGTTAAGTTGCTCTCACATTGAAGACACACTGATTTTAAATAAAACACAATATTTGTTAGGAGTAAAAGATACTCTGTTAAAGACCAAAGCACCAAGCCACGACAATCAAGTAGTGCTTATAATTTGTTAGTAGGCTACAAGTATGATAAAAAATCATAAGATCTACACTTTTAGGTTCACCATGAGAAATATTTTCGTAGTATGTAATACACATGTTAAACTACATGAATCTGTAGAAATTGATGGTAAAAAAAATATTTGACTTGGAACAGGGCTAAAGCATAATTATTTTAAACCGGATGTAGTATTATTTTATCCCAATAGGAGTTTTGTTCTTAAGAGGGTAGCACATAAGCAGTTTTACGGGGTGTTTGGGACTACTCCGCTCCTTATTTTTCAGCTTCGCTACATGTTTCCCTCAAAAAAAAAAAAACTTAGCTCCATTTTTTTTAGCCAAATAGCTTCAACTTCATGCACTCTGCTTGAGGAAAAAAAGTGGAGTTGTGAGAGCACCTAAATGGGTGCTTCACAAACTCCAGGTTTTTTGTGAAGCTTCTCTACGATGGAGTTTGTGGAGCAGAGTTCGTGAAGCAGTAACAAGCACGACGTTAGGTGATACTATTGGTGGTCTTCGAGCTTGGGTTGTGTCTCGTGCTAGCTAGCCCACTTACCCTGTCTGTCATAACATAGCTCTAAGCATTTTTTTCATATTTTAAAAGGAGAAAGAGAAAAGCTAGCTCTTAATCAAGAGCTAAGCTCTTACATATATTTCAAGATTATGTTAGAATGTCATGTGTCGGGCTATCCATGTTAAAAGTTATGTGCTAAAAGTTAGTATTATTGAAGAAAATTGGCTTAAAGCTAGTAAAGCTCTAACCATTGCGGGTGCCTAACATGTCTTTTAATTAAATGCAACAAGAACATACAAAACACAAAAAAATGAAACCATTTAACGTTTTTCCAACCATGAATTGATTATTTTTGCTGAAGACGTCACGCTCTTGATTAGGACTGGCCTTACAAGTCATACTGTCGGTGTTTCGGAACCGGGGGTCCTTAACTGACTAGTGAATTTATGCTGCGTGTTCCCAATTCCGGATGGTGATGCAAAGAGACATAAGGTTTATACTGGTTCGGGCAATAGATGCCCTACGTCTAGTCTGAGAAGATGTTCTTGTATTCCTTGCACCGGGGTGCTCGTAGTAGGGGGTTACAAGCTAGGCGAGAGAGGGAGTTCGTCCTAAGTCTCTGTGAGGGGAGGTGATATGAATTACAGAACGCGGCGTGTTGTTCGTGCGAGTGTTCGTGACTCTATCCGCCGTCCCTAGAAACGGTCCTGGCCGCCTCCTTTTATAGCCGCAGGGAGGAAACCAGAGTACATAAGAGAGCTACACGTGGAGCGGACTATTCGATGACGTATTTACTTACGGAGCAAAGATGGCGTTGTCGTGGGAGTTCCCGTAGATGTCTAATCGGTATGGTCTCCATCGCAAGTAACATGCTGCGCGCATTTGTTGACTTGGTGGATTGCGAGGCTCGGCGGCCATCGTAGCTTGGCCGTCGTCACGAGGGCTGTTGTCAGCCGAGGCTCTTTGTGCGAGGCCCGAGAAGTGACCCAGTGCGAATGCGGGTCTCGGCCGCCATCGTGGAATAGTGCGAGACGTGCGCCTACAGGATACGGTACCTGTATTGTCAGTAAGGGATGGTAAAAAAGGTGATCTGACCGTTGTCCCGTCGCTCCTGTTGCAGCGCACTGCCGATCGTGGCTTACGTAGCGGGTGCAGCTGAGCGCATTAATTGGATGCGACAGCCTGCCAGAGAGACCTTTGAGGCGGAGGCGACGAGGTTGCGGGACGAGCCCGGCCTCGGGCGAGGCGGAGCGCGGCCAATTCATCCGAGGCCCTCTACCGGGGGGTCTCGGCGAGGCGACGGGCGAGGCAGAGTAAGATCAGTGAATCCGAGGCCCTGTCGAGGGGGCTCGGGCGAGCCGGAGCGGTCGGTCCGCTGATTCCGAGGCTATAGGAACCCGTTCTGACTCCCCACGTTGCAATGTCCTTGGCGCAGGAGTTAGGCAGCACAGTGGTCGGTAACCCCCTGCCTCTCTGTCGCGTCGCGCAGATGGCGAGGAGGTTGACGCGACCGGCGTGTAGTCGGTCACTACAGACATCTTGTGCCATCGTCGCGCCTATCGGAGTGGTTGGGCGCTTGGATGCGGCGCTCGGTCGAGCGAGTTTGGTCGAAGAGGCGGTCACGGGGCTGGTGCCGAGCCGGCCTCGCGCGAATCGGAGAATTGGCACTTCTTCCGAGGCCCCGGGCGAGGGGGCCTCGACGAGGGGGCCTCGGTGAGGCGGTCTCGGGCGAGTCGGAGAATCGTTCGCTTCCGCTGGGGCTTGGCGACGGGGTCTTGGGCGAATCGGAGATTTCGGCCGAGACCTCGTTTATTTATTCCATTGGTTCTGTTCTTAGGGTCTAAGCATTTTGGATCTTTGCTTGGGGTACCCCATTTTCTGGTATCCGACAGTAGCCCCTGAGCCTCGGACGGGAGTGTGGGATACTCTCCCCGAGGTTTTTTCGAGACTTTTGTTTCTCAGTGGCTCTTGTCGGGTTTGTTTTATACTCACGATTCTGGTGGGTGCTCGCAAGCGCACCCGCCGGGTGTAGCCCCTGAGGCCTTAGAGGAGTGAGTTTACTCCTTTATGGGCTTTTTCTTCGTTGAGTAAGGCGCTTTATCGCATTCGCTAGACCCATGAGAGCGAGCTCGGGTCGCTTGTTTTCGTTTGGGGTGCAGGAGGAGCCCCCGAGCCTGCCGAGCCCTCGCGTGTGATCCTAGGTCGTTGGGTCTCGGCAAGGTTTGCAGGAAGAGCCCCCGAGCCTCCGCACGGAGCGAGAGGGCGGTCAGGAGTTCTCCTGGCTTCTTGTACGACCCTCGCGCATCCTTTTCGTTCGGAAGGAGGGGTTGTTTGCCGAGCCCTTCGTGTGTGAGCCTAGGCCGCTGGGTCTCGGCAAGGTTGCAAGAAGAGCCCCCGAGCCTCCGCACGTAGCGAGAGGGCGATCAGGAGTTCCCCTGGCTTTTTGTACGACCCTCGTGCATCCTTTTCGTTTGGAAGGAGGGGTTGTTTGCTGAGCCCTTCGTGTGCGAGCCTAGGCCGCTGGGTCTCGGCAAGGTTGCAGGAAGAGCCCCAGAGCCTTCGCACGTAGCGAGAGGGCGATCAGGAGTTCTCTTGGCTTTTTGTACGACCCTCGCGCATCCTTTTTGTTCGGAAGGAGGGGTGGAACATGCCAGGCTACCCTCTGTGGGCGCGAGCGGTGACATTTCCGGTGAGCTTTTATCGGGTAAGTCTGAGTGGAGGCCCGTGCCCCATTCGATAGGGGTCGGCTAGTGGTCCAGAGACGCGCTCCAAAAAAAGTACCAGAAGGCTTCTCTAGCGGGTGCCAGGGCCGTTTGATTGGCCCTAGGGGCTCGGTGCCTCCCTACGGTGGGATCCCCTTTAGAGAACTTCTGCTGATCTCGGACACGACTTAGGGCATCCCAAGCAATCGCTTGCCTGGGACTCGGCCATGTATGGGCTCACCCATAGTTGTCCCTGACTCTGTTGTCCTGGGGCGGTTGTCGAGGCCCTGGATGGCCCAGCCTTCGTACCCCTAGAACGTAATGGGCTTGGTGTCCTTTTTCGTCACGTTTTTCTGACCCTCGGGGTGTGAGAGGTTGCAGGAAGAGCCCCCGAGCCTCCGCACATAGCGAGAGGGCGATCAGGAGTTCCCCTGGCTTTTTGCACGACCCTCGCGCATCCTTTTCGCTCGGAAGGAGGGGTTGTTTGCTAAGCCCTTCGCGTGCGAGCCTAGGTCACTGGGTCTTGGCAAGGTTGCAGGAAGAGCCCCCGAGCCTCCGCACGTAGCGAGAGGGCGATCAGGAGTTCCCCTGGCTTTTTGTACGACTCTCGCGCATCCTTTTCGCTCAGAAGGAGGGGTTGTTTGTCGAGCCCTTCGCGTGCGAGCCTAGTTCGCTGGGTCTCGGCAAGGTTGCAGGAAGAGCCCCCGAGCCTCCGCACATAGTGTGAGGGTGATCAGGAGTTCCCCTGGCTTTTTGTACGACCCTCGCACATCCTTTTCGCTCGGAAGGAGGGGTTGTTTGCCGAGCCCTTCGCGTGCGAGCCTAGGTCGCTGGGTCTCGGCAAGGTTGCAGGAAGAGCCCCCGAGCCTCCGCGTGGAGCGAGAGGGTGATCAGGAGTTCCCCTAGCTTTTTGTACGACCCTCGCGCATCCTTTTCACTCGGAAGGAGGGGTGGAACATGCCAGGCTACCCTCGGTGGGCGCGAGCGGTGACATTTCCGGTGAGCTTTTATCGGGTAAGTCCGAGTGGAGGCCCGTGCCCCATTCGATAGGGGTTGGCTAGTGGTCCAGAGATGCGCTCCAAAAAAAGTACCAGAAGGCTTCTCTAGCGGGTGCCAGGGCCGTTCGATTGGCCCTAGGGGCTCGGTGCCTCCCTACGGTGGGATCCCCTTTAGAGAACTCCTGCTGGTCTCGGACACGACTTAGGGCATCCCAAGCAATCGCTTGCCTAGGCCTCAGCTATGTACGGGCTCGCCCATAGTTGTCCCTGACTCTATCGTCCTGAGGCGGCTGTCGAGACCATAAACGGCCCAGCCTTCGAACCTCTGGACCGTAGCGGGCTCGGCGTCCGGTTCCTTAGCTTCCGGAAGGAATCGGTGGGGGTATTTCTTCCATTGGTCGACAACGGCGCATCTTTTGAGGTGGTCTTCTCGGGAGCTGCCGTTGCTGCGTGACGTGGTGTGTCGATGGATGGGA